ATCTCCTTTTCTTTATGGGTTCGCTTCTTTCACGTAACGCAGCATGGTGCATGTACGAAGATACCCAGATAACAATATCAAGAAGATTTCTCCTTGATTTTGAACATACACTCGAACCAGAAACGTAAAAGCTTGGATTTTTCTTCCTCTACCTCTCAGTTTTTGCTCTCTCTCAGAAGAAAATCTCCGTAAGAAGAAGAGAGGGTTTTTGATTTGCTAAAAAGTAATTATTTTCAGACTTTATTATGTAACTAGAGGGCTCAACGTGGAAATAAGATAAAATTTAGTGGCCAACAATAAATAAATAAAGAAAATAGTTTGCCAACTCCTACAAAACGTTTATATTTGCCAACATAAACTTTTTTATTCAACAGTAAATTTAGTTAATTTCTTTGTAGGGAAAAGGAAAAAGACAACAAGAAATAATTACATTGCATATGTTTATAGTTATATTTCTAAATTTTTATGTCYATTTCTTCATAATATCAAAAAATATTCGTGTTTAATTTCGAGTCAAAATTTTAGTTTTTGATTAAATTTGCCATATATATACAATTAATATTATCTTTGACTACACAGAATTTAGATATTGTGCTACTTATATCGTTGAATTGAACAGTTTTAGAAACTATACTAACCGTGTAAAATTATCTCGTATATAGAAATTGAGAAAATACAAAAAATATCCACAAAACTTTTGCCTACCCGTTGTTAGTAGAACAACACAACTGTGAATTCTTTAACACAAATTTTTTATTTGGATAGTATGTCATATATATACCGTTGAATTGATTTTTTTCAGAAAACTATGCAAGTTGTGTAAAATCTGTACTTATAATTGCGAAGTCAGAAAATCCTACGTGTCGTCTCCACGGCAAGTTTAAGAGTTGATTTGCCAAGAATACTCTTAATGAATTCTATTCTATACTTATAATTGCGAAGTCGAAAATCTTATGTGTCGTTTTCACAGCAAGTTTAAGAGTTGATTTGCCAAGAATACCCTTAATGAATCCATATAATTACATGCATTGTCATCGATTTTTCTTTAACTAAAATATCCCTAATTCGTTTAGTGATTATTAATTGGGTTCGAGCCCATTTTATATCGTGATCCATAAACTAAATTTGTTTTATTGAAAATCTTAGCCACTATCTCTACGATTTCTTATATATATGTGAGTTATCATCTAATACCTATTATATTGACTGTTTCGGGACACGAACCATCGTTTTTTGATACCATCTTCTCTTCTAAGCTTATGATTTCTCACATCCCATCGTTTACAAATGGTTTTTTTGTAGATGTTTCCTCTTTATTTCAGGATCTCCCATAGATGACTTCTCGAAGAAGGAATCTGCCATAGCATTTCAGATTTTTGTGAGTGGCGGATGCGAATGGTAAAATAATAAAGTATCTTTGTTAAACTCTTTCGCTCTGTCTCCAAGAACAACATGAACTTTTCGATCA